ATAATATTTAGGTTTTATAAAAACATGCAAAAGGAACATTAAAAGTTGCATAAACAACGAAATAACAGGCCGATTCCGGACACGGGCAGTTTGGCAGTAGCTCGCCGATATTAGATCTCTTGTAAAATTAATCAAAAACGTTTTTATTTATAAAAATCTTTTCATAAATCATTGATATTGTTAATATTTTATAAAATTGCAAGAAAAAACTTTAAAAGTTTAATTATTACAAAGTTACAGGTCGATTCCGGTAATTCACCGCCGATTCCGGTCGATTCCGGTAATTCGGCCGATTCCGGTAAGTCTATGTTTGAAAATTTCATTTTGTGTGAAAAATACTCAAAATTTGAAAGCAAATATTTTTATATCTAAGATGAATTTTCTGGATTTTTTTTGTAACATTAATCAGAACACATAATATTTTAATAAAATAAAGAGAAATAATACAATTTTTATTATAAACTGTAAGATATTCAGGCTTTTAGTATATCTTTGTAACATCTGTCCCCTACCCACACAGTCCGCAAGAGATGTAATATTTTGAAAAAGGTATCCAAAAAGTTATCCTTTCTTTCCAAAAATATTGTTATAGACACCCTTAGGTACTTAAAAAGAGCAAATATTGTCTTGTATGTTTAACTTTATTTTTTGACTTAGATGCTAACAAAATTGGCCCATTTACTGTGCAGCAGGCATTGATCATACTGCGCGGATGCGCAGGCTGGTCTGGATCCATGCTGGTCGCAAACCCATTATGTTGGTTTTGTCATGACACGGCTCATTTAAGGTTTTACTGTAGAATCTAAACTAGAAATGATCTCTTTCATGTAGCTCCTAGTTGTTAAAGTAACATTAATTCCTTAATGTTTGATTTTTGATTCAACAAATGGATCAATTTTCAATCCACAGGTAATTATTAAGGTTAAAGTGCTTTGATGGTCAACTCGGAGTAAATTACAACACAGCATGACCATGCAGTAATGAGGTGTTATAAGGTAACCCAAACAATCCAAAGCTAATAGTACCCTTTAAGCATTCAATAATCATTTGTTAGTCCCCTACCAGTTTAACTAGAGGGGACTTGAGGTTTACTCTCCCTCCGTCTGTCTGTCCGTCCGTCTGCAGTCCGTTAACAAAACTGAATCCTGAGATAACACAAAAAGTATTGAAAATATTTTTATGAAACTTGATATAGGGTAAGATGGCAGTCTGAAGATAATTAATTGCATTTTTTTTACTTTTTTTTCCTATGTTGAAAAATTTGGTTGCTATGGCAACAAATAGTCTGAAAATATAACTAATTTAACATAACATAAATTGGATCCAGTGATAATGCCAAAAGTACTGAAAGTATTTTTATGAACATTGAATTATGGGTAGATGGTAGTATGGAAATTATGCACGTCTTCTGTTCTTCCTATGTTGAAAAATTTGGTTACTATGGCAACAAATAGGCTTAAAATATGGCAAATTTAACAAAAATTGTGATTACTCAAAAAGTGCTGATTGATTGATTGATTGATTGATTGATTTTCTTTGGACTGTGCGATCAAGGATAACCTATGAAAGTGTAAGCACTTATTTCCAGTAGGGTCCTTACCTCACCAGACTCTAGAGACAGCTATGAGATACAAGTGAGTCCAAGAACCAGTCCCTAGCTCTTATTGAATAGATTCCTTGGTTCTTTTACATGCCCAGTGTATAGCACTGATATGTGCAAGGATAAACTGGGCTTCTTTAACGTAAACCTCTAGGTAGGTGGGAAACACTGAAAGTGTTTCTGAAAAATCCCAAGGGTGTTACCCAGGATCGAACCTGGAACCTCAGGAGTGACAGTCAGTGGTCTTACCAACTGAGCTATCGTGCCACCTGAAATGAAAACATTTTTATGAAACTTAAAATATGGATAGATAGCAGTATGGAGATTATACACATCATTTTAATCTTCTTTCCTAAAGTAATTACACCTTTAGACCTCTCAATAAGTTCCTTTTTATTCCCCGAAACAGGAAATCCTCGATCACGTAAAAAATCCTTTAAATTTGGAATTGTCGCTGTGTCAAAATCGATATCAATGTTTTCCTTATCCGCCATTGATCAAGAACGACGACCTTACCAGGGGAGGTAACAACGGTTATCGGAAAGGACTATATTTAAGCACGGATTTATATTACAGGGATCGGACACTCCCAGTTAACCCTATATAAATGCTTAAATATCTTGTCGTGCACCCGATAAAGGTACATCGATCGATAATTTACCGGCGCGAAGCGTAAATGCCCGTTCGCAACGGATACCTACTTTACAAAATACCATATAGCTTTTTCATTTATCATCCGATTTTGGAAATTTAAAGTTTATTTTGAAGAAAAATACTTGGTTAATTCAAATATCTAATTTATTTTTTAAAGGTACAGTTTATCTGTCCGCAACGACGGTTAAAAAATTAACTTGACGAAATCCGCGGTAAATTTACATTTTTTTTATATAAAAAGCAGGTATTTGAAATTTATTATTACGGTACCATAATACTTTCAGTTTCAAAACAAAAAAGAAGCCGATGTAAGTTATTCACAGATCTGATGATCAAAGATGCAATATTTAAGATTTGTTGGGTTATGTAGTCAAATTTATTAACGCACAATTGTTTTACGGGTAATGTATTACGGCCTTTACACGTGAAGAAAATTTATTCATTTTTTAGTACAAAATATTGCCGAGATTGTCAATATTGCCATATTCATAGAATATTTAAATTTCAATTATCATTTATATCCTTATTATTTTTTGTAAATCTGTTTTCAAATGTCGGTGCAGTGAAGTAGACAATCATCGTAACAGTAAAGTTCTCTCGTGTGGCTGTCTCGATTCCGGCCTCTTTAATGTCACTCGTATATTTTAATCCGTATATTTTAATTATTCTTTTTATTTGAATGCCTGTTGAAAGATATTTATTATACTTTTTAATGTAACGCTAGAAAAACAATAAAAATCTTTACAGTGCGAGTCAGTATTTTGCGAAATAAAAGTAACTGTTGATTATTTTTTACACATCGCTTAAATTTCTTTCAAGTTTAATTACTTTTGAAGGGGGGGGGGGGTAAGTGATAATTAAAAAACTTGATTTCCAAACTTTCATTACCAGGTTACATGTGATAATTGCAACACTCAATCTTCAAAAACAAATATAATTTGAATGTATATTTTGTATATGCGCGGTCTTTATAATAACTACAGTTCATGGCATATGTGGTAAGAAAATGATTCTGAAGAGGATATATATAAATACAATGTAAATCTATTTTCTTTATTAACATTTATAAATGAAATTGAAAATATACAACTAAATTTGTATAGTCCTTTCTCTGAAAAATGATGAAAATAAACATGTGATAAATAAATCATTTGACGTGAATTGTTTAGGATATCTATGAAAAAAGTATGTTTCAAAATAAAAAATAATATTATAAAACAGCTGTTCTCTATGCCAATAAAAGTTTCTTCCTTGCCAATCTAATGAATTCATCTATATAGGAATGCTTGTCTAGAATGATCTGAAAATATATTTCATACACTTAATAGTAGAATATTTACTATATTTATACTAATATACAGGTAATCAAATAAAAAATGTACAAATCATTTGGAAATAATTCACAGAAATAAAGACACATTTCAAACATGAATTTCTTTAAAAGTTTTTTAGCAATCAAGAAACGTTTTTTTGCAATGCCATCATTAAACCATGTAAAAAATAATTATCTTATTCTGAATCGCGGTAATAATTCGTGCTTGAAGTAAAAGGGCGGCGAAGTGTAGAGAGTATGCCTAAACAATTGGCGAATATTTTTTTAAATTAGGTACTTTTTAACTAAGCGTTGCAGCGTTCTATCAGCATATTTTCATATAATAATACTTTAGCGACACAAAATAATACTGTATCAATACATTCATATGTGTATAATTTTTCACAAAGCTGCAATAACACCACATACTCTGGTGAAAATCTGTCATATTTCGTACTCCGCACGTTCTGCTATCTCATTTTGTCCCCTTTATCCGATTCCGCGCATGCGCGCGACGGGACTTTAAGCTAAACGAAAGTGTCCGATCCTTGTAATATAAATCCGTGATTTAAGGGAGAATTAATTGAGAGCTGTCAAGATTTCTCCTATTCAAGTCTTTACGCTTTTTCACTATAAGTTCTTTATTTCGTAAGGTATTAATACTCCAAACTTCAAATATATGTTTCTGATCATCAACCTCATCATATGTGACAAGGTTGACAACTTTAGCACAAAAAATGTCAGAATGTAACCCCCCTTGACCTTAGAATGTTCATGAAAAAATGATGTTTTTTATAACTTCTTTATACATGTATATTTATGTTTCTACTTCAAACGTCATACATATGTTTCTTATTATCACTCAAATTATGTGTGAGAAGGTTCAATATTCTAGCTTGACTATTTCCAGTATTATGTCCCACTTAGATTTTTTTCTAGAAATTATTATTTTTTACTTAAATTTTTTTATTCCTTATAGCATTTACTTCAAACTCCCACATCTTATGACAAGGGTTATAAATCTAGCATACATATTTCCAGAATAATCTCCTCCTTAAACATTGAATTTTTCTTATTCATTCCTTAACTTTCTTATTTCTCCACAGATTTCCTTATAAGGCAGTCTGGGAAACTAACACATTACTTAAGATATAGCTAGACAAACTAAGAACTCAAAAGATTTAAGTTCATTTATATCATTCATTCATTCAGGGGCATAATTGAATGGCCAATGACCCATCATAATGTTGCTGGGGTTCTAACCGATAGGGGACTTTTATAATGGATTGCTTGCAATACCATTATAATTGCTTGTTTTTACTTTATTATTTTTCTATTATTTTTAACAACATAACTAAATTAGTTAGTGGGATCTTGTTTTAGTATAATGGCTTTTAGACTAGAAATGGTAATGCTTTTGCTTAAACATTTCAGGGTCTATAATCTTAGCCAGAAAACTGCATGTGAGCAAGGGGAATGTGGTAAGAGAAGACTGGTGATAATAAACAGAGGCCATGCAAAAAAAGAAAATGTAAGTAACTTCACAAAGAATGTTTAAAACTGGCTAAAAAATGTGTGCTTGTGCTAACTACTGCATGCATGATAGAATTTCATAATAAATAAGTTAAAGCTACTGTCATGTCCCACACAAAACAGTTCTAAAAAACATCAACATATTTGTTTATAGTTATTAAATATGCTTAGACGTGAAATTTGCAGTTTCAATGACTAACTGTTGTTATGTTTATTATGTTATGTATGCAACATATTACATGTATATAATTTATATCTGACCAGTTGGTATTTCCAATATTATCATTGTTCTATTTTTAGAACATAAACTACATGTATGTACTAGAAGGTTCTTAACTGTTGTAGAAAACTCATGCATTATATTTAGATAGAAACTTCTGGAATGATCTTTATTGTTGAAGTTGCTAGATTATGATTACTTGAGAACATAATAGACCTTTCTGGAAACTTCTTAGTTAATATATATAAGGAGACATTTTTCATTAATCTTATCTTTAAGTCATCAGTTACCTTTTTAGTCATCAGTGATCTTTTAAGTCATCAATATATTTGGAGTATTAAGCAACTTGGAAATTAAGTGATTTATTGGAGCTTGGATTATTAATTATTCTTGTGTGGATTTTATTGTGGGAATTTATTCTAAAGTGTTCTTGGATTTAACTTGGATTTAACTGTGCTATTAAAAAAAAGGATCATTCCAGGATCAGACTAGACATTTGTAATTTTTATTTGGAACT